ATTAGTATTATTTGTTTCTAATTGGGCCATATATTACATTGTGTCTCATATGGAAGAAAACATGGTTCCATTCTTCTGAGAGCACTGCTGCATTGAAACGACTGTTGCTTTTCCATAGTGCATGATAAATTTGGAAAAAACTGGTATAAAACCACTGTTTATACCTAACTCTTAAAGGCGACACCCTCCTTTGTAGAGAGGCATTACGAACGCCAAAGTTGATACTCTCCCCTCGTAAGGGTACCTGACGTGATTCCATACCCTCACTTAATTGATTGTCGACTAATTATTCGACTGATGAAATTAATAATTTAGTGAATCGATAAAAGCCGCTGTTTTACGAAGGAATGTTCGCAGAAGAATAGAACTATGATTTGTATTTATGGAAAGACAAATTTAACGTTTTTGAAAACTCATCTTGAGAATCTCATTTCATTCATCTATCTGGTATGAAATTCACAGATCTAGAGGTTCGAAGTGTACTATCGTACAACCGAATAGGGATTTTTGCAAATCCAGGATTTCAATATCTGAGACATCAGTTCCAGGAATATCCTTTAATTAAACTTGATTAGTATTACGTTGTATTGATTGCTCCATATTCTATTTACTTCATCTATCTGTTTCAAAGTGAATTGTCCTGCAAACGAATATGAAATTTCTCTAAGATTCTGTGAACTCTGCAATAATTTTCATTGTTCCTGGAATATCCTGAAATAAAACTTAGGATTAGTATTATTTTTTTCTGATTGAGCCAAATATTACATTGTATCACATATGGAAGAAAACATGGTTCCATTCTTCTGAGAGCACTGCTTTTCATAATATTCGTGTTCTCGAAAAAATTCCCGGATATTAATTGAAGCTAAAGTGGTATTCGGTAAGAAAATTTCACACTGAAATATTATTAAAAAATTACTTGGATAAGGAATTTCAACAACACTTAGATGATTTTGTTGAAAATTATGGTTGTTTGAGATGAAATGTAAAAACTAACGTATAGTAACAACATGTGTTTTTGTAAATTTCGAATTTGCAAGTATTCCTACATAATATTATATGGTAAACTGTTGATAAATGATTTTTTTTATTGACTTATAGAATGAACTCGAAATAATCTGAAGTTGAATGTGATTGTCATTTAACCTATAAACGTCAAAAAAATTCCAGTGTAATCTCATGCTCCCGTGCCCCAAGGAGGAGGAAAAAATTTCCAAGGAATTTGTTTAGTTGCTATGGTAACGATACGAAATACAGGCTTCAAATTGATCGAAAATGTTTGGTGTGGAATTTTCAGAGGAAAAGTACAAAAATTTTTCAAAGGAACTGGGTTTTTTGTATTTTTCCTTTGAATTTTGAATTTGAAGGCAGGGAAAAAACATCGCAGTAATGCTTTGGTTATGATTTTAAATGATATAACGTTTTCGTATTATTACCTACATTGAACGTTGTGGTTGAATTAGTAATTGACTATGGATTATTTTTTTCATCGGTGAGATATTTGCATTATAGACTATTGACTATAGATAATGCAAATATCTTACCATAAAAAAATCAATAATTGAATCCATGTTTATTAACGTCATATTATTGCATATATTATGATGAATTTGACGCTGAAAGAATCATTTTTGAATTCATAAATTTGTTACCAACAGAAAAAAAAACATCGAGGGCTGAAACTAACTCTTAAAACGTTCCCAACAGTACAGGGGTGCGCCCCTGAAAACAAAACGTGTTTTGATACGATGTTTTTCTTCTTCAAAAAAATTATCAATAACATTGAGAAAGAAAACACTGTCCGTTCACACAAGCTTTCAGGAAAGTAATATTAATCTATGAAGCATATCATTTTTATTTCAAATCACACAAACATACATGTTTACACCCTATGGTGATTATTGAAATGTCGCTTTCGATCGGGTTGACCCGATAAGGGAGGTGCAGAAAAATATCAAAATCAGTGAAAGCTTCGTGCGAGATTGATTTGAGCTATGCTGGAAAGCGTAGTTCTATCCCGGGAAAATTTCCAGTTTTTTCAGCCGATTTTGATAGTTACCAGAATTTTTGGGTTGTGTCCTTTTTCTTGCAAAAACGATGGAGCAAATGTCATTATTGGATGGTCTACATTGCTCGCCATATACAGTTATCTGTTATCAATCAATTTCAGTAAGTTTGAATTCATGTTTGAAAATCGAATAGATATAAATGAGTTTACATGCGATATTCCACGAACATTATAGAAATTTCCTTTAGTGCGCTCCAAGAGATTTGAGAAAATTAAGTTAGTGAAAAGTATTAAGCAACCTATAGAGAGTATTTTTTTAATATATAGTTTTGTTCTTGCAATCCCTTTGCAGAGAATCCGATGATTCTAAAAATTATCTAAGTTTTACTGTACCTACCAATTTATTCAGAGTATTTCATTTCGAAAGAATCATAGGAATGAGTTTTTATGATTCCCGATTTACGATTCAAAAATAAAATGTATCAACAGCATTTTATGGAGCACTAAATACGCAAGTTGGTCATGATTCGTTTTCGAGATACATCAGTTTCTTGAAATTTTCCAAAACAGTGCTAGTTTCATTTTAGTGTAGTAAGGAAAAAATCAGATGATTTGCCCCAGAATGTCGCTGCGTTTAAAGAATTTTCCTCTATGAGAGAGCCTAAAAGAAAAATTCACTAGCTCGTCAGTGACACGTTGTTCGGAAAAGAGTTTGAAGAGAAGAACTATAGATATATTGTAAACATATCGAATTTTCACTTATCTTTGGACGTTTCGGGAACGAATCTGCTCCCGTTCTCAACATAAAAATGCGAAATATTTTTCTTCGAAAATTCCCTTCTAGTTTGACACTTCTCAGTGTCATACAGATGTTGGCAATATGGATGAGTGATGATGTTAGTATACAAATGAGATACAGGATGTTTTCATTAATTGATCTCGAATCTACCATTTTCATGTTCAGTTTTCAGTTGAGGATACCATGTTCTATCGATATCAACTAAACAGGAAGCAATGCTATTGTCTCTGTTCAGAAAAATACAAGCAGGTTCCTTGATTTTTCTCTTTTGATTGTTATCTTCCTTTCATATGATTTTAATATTATTCCACCCTGCCATATGTTGTCCATTACAAGTAAGATTATGTTCAGATTCAGTTACCTTTAATTTATCGATATGTATTTTCTTCATATTGTACTTGTGTTCTTTTATCCTTACAGAGGAAGGTTTCCTAGTTTGTATCCTTGATGATCTCAGCAGGGCATTCGACTGTGTCGATCATAAGATTCTCTTAGACAAACTATTCCGTTATGGCATACGGGGTATACCATAAGCATGGATAACAGACTATCTTTCTTATAGAAAACAATACGTCGCTATCAACAAAGCAACTTCCAGCATGGTCTTCTCTGAATTAGGAGTGCCTCAAGGGTCGATATTGGGACCCATATTGTTTGTTTTGTACCTATATAAATGATTTGGAATATTCAATTCCTGAAACATTCATAACAATGTATGCAGACGACATGTCAATTATAATTACTGACAGATCAGATTCAATTTTGAAAGAAAAATGTGACAAAGTTTTTAAAAATATCAACAACTGGTTTTTTGCAAACAATTTGTTTTTGAACGCGAAAAAAAAACAGATTCAATGAGGTTCCATCATCGGCAACGGAGGTGTGATATCATAAGCTTTAGAGCTAATGATAATTCTGACACTGTTACAACAGAGTGTGAGAGCTTAAAATTTTCAGGTCTTCACATTGATGAATATTTAAATTGGCAGAATCACTGTGACTTTCTGATCAAAAAGATTAACTCTACTTCATATCAGGTAAGGAATATACGGCAGGTTTTAAATGATGATCAGCTGCTGAAGCTGTACTATGCTCAGGTGGATTCCAGACTGAGATATGGAGTGTGCTACTGGGGTTTTTCCTCTAGCTGCTCTGATGTCAGTGATGTCTTTTAATTTTTGACTTGTGCTTATTTGTGTTCGAGAATAGAAATAAATTGTTTGTACTGAATAAATGTAAACATAATATTGATACAAGACAAAAAAACAATGTTTTTGTACCATTTGGAAAAACCAAATTAGCTTTCGAATCTCCTGACCAGATGGCTCCAGGTATTTAAAATTTGCTACCTGATTTTATTAAAGAATCCAAAACTGTTTCAATGTTTAAACGAACACTGAAGAATCATCTTGTTGATATAGTTTTGATGAATTTTTGTGTATGAGTAGGTAGTTTTCGTCCTCTTTTTTCAGGATTTTTTCAATCTCCTTTTCTCTTCTTGTTTTTTGACGATTCCTATACAAATTTTGTAACTTTGTCCTAAAGGAAAATAAATATCATTATTATATTATTATTATTATATGAATAAAAATTTTTGATGATTGTTCTTCAATTTTCGGTTTTGTTTGAGTTAGAATTGATCTAATTGTATTTTCAGTTTTGAACACTGTTTTCATAATATTAAAATCATAGGAAAGGAAGATAACAACCAAAAGAGAAAAATCAAGGCATCCGCTTGCATTCTTCTGAACGGAAAAAAACAATTTTAACAGCCTGTATCTCCAAAACGAATCATTTCCAAATAGTTGTCATAAAATTGTCTCAGGAATACGTCATTTGAATAGTTTAACGTGAGGGTGGGATAAGTACTATAGCTCATGTTAAACAATGATGTAAGTTTGTTACTGATCAAACTATAACTATGGAAACTCAATAATAAGAGATTCTGGGGTATTCTCGTGAATCGTTTGTCAGCTGATGCAAGACAGACTGTTTCAGTTCGCCAAGCCACATATTAGGTTATTATTTTTGTTTTTAGTTATAGCTTCAATCATAGGTTTAGTCGATGATATGGATGAAGAAGATTCCAGATCATTCAGGATGGAGATGAAGAAAGGGAAATTCATAACATGCTGTGACATTCTTATCGTTATCTTGATTGTGATATTCGGAATTGTTACACTGCCGTGTCGTATGAGAAGGTTTGGGGATATCTTGAGAAATTTCAACAAGGTAATAAGACGAATGATTGAAAAGTAGCACTTTACTTTCCGGTTTTGCTGGCGTCCCTCCCGGTTTCGATTTCGATAAAAAACGGAAAAACGAGACCAGACTTCTAATTTTGATGTTGGAGTACTCCATTCAGAACATCCATCCATCACTGGATAACCACCGTATGGAACATTTTGAAATTCGTATACCGATTCAGAAATATAGCAGACTGAATTTTGCCATCACGAAAAGCTATACAGGGTGGACAAAAAATAATCTATGCATATGTTCAACATTGACACCCTGTATCTCAAAAGTTAGAACGTTTACGAAATATGTTCATATGAAGTTTTATTCTTGAAATGGGTCGAAGAATCGGCCTCTTGAATATTAGCGTATCATTAAGGAACACCCTGTATAATTCAATAGTAATTTTCTGTTCGCAATAATAATTTTAACTGATAAATTTGTTCTATGCATAAGAGATTTATCATGATTCACGAATAGATTTTTATTTTTCAGATAGACAGTATTTTAGCAGAACCAAACCTAAAAAAATACAGAAGACAGTCAATCCGATTAATTCTTGCCGTATATTGCTTGTTCACATCCGTCATGATTTTCGATATCTTTTACTGGACCAGATCATCTTGTCCAGGAGGAAAATCGGGAAGCCATTATATTCTGGATTACTGTGGATTCTACTTTTTGTACTACATCATGATCACTCTGGAACTGTATTTTTCCCATCTGGTTTATTCGATACACATGAAACTGTTTTTAATCAATGAATATTTGGTGATCAGTGATTTGCGAAATAATCTCAAAAATAATATCATCATGGTGAATTCCCAAATTGACAATTTTCATCTAGAGTCCTTGTGGCACAGGCAACACCAGGATTCCAAGATATTTTTCAAAATAAGAATGCCTGAATCAAGTTTCACTAATGGTAATGCTGGCATTTCTCTTTTTATAGTGTTGATTAATGTGACGTTCAATAATCTTCCTTATTTCTTCATTTCTTCATTTGTTGAATCGTTTGTACGGTTTCATTTATTTACCATTCATTCATTTATTCAGAGCATTCATAATTCTCATCGATCGCTTCGATGTAGTCGTTATTAGTTTATTCATTCATTCAATTTTTTATTCACTCGTGAATTCATTCTGGCCTCATTTCGTGCATTCAAAGATTCATTAATTCTAATTCCACGTTCCTGCTCTCTCGTCTCATACCAGGCCAAATTTGGTTGAGATCACATGACTAATAATTGACATATAGAAGGGGATCAGACGGGAGAAGGCGAGAGAAGACGAGACGAGAGAAGGACCTCTCTCGTCGAGAGAAACGGCTCTCTCGACGAGACGAGAAAACAAATTTCTATAGTTCATACGAGACAAGACGAGAAAAGGACTCTCTCTCGTTTCGTCTCATTCCAGGCCAAATTTGGTTGAAATCACATGACTAATAATAATTGAAATATAGAAGGGGAGCAGAGAGAAGGCGAGAGAAGACGAGACGAGAGAAGGATCTCTCCCGTCGAGAGAAACAACTCTCTCCACGAAACGAGAGAACAAATTTCTCTAGTTCATACGAGATAAGACGAGAAGGGGGCTCTCTCTCTCTCACTCGTTTCATCTCATACAAGGCCAAATTTGGTTGAAATCACATGACTAATAATAATTGAAATATAGAAGGGGAGCAGGAGAGAGAAGGCGAGAGAAGACGAGAGAAGGACCTCTCTCGTCGAGAGAAACGGCTCTCTCGACGAGACGAGGGAACGAATTTCTCTAGTTCATACGAGACAAGACGAGAGAAGAGCTCCCTCTCGTCTTGTCTCGTTTCGACGATATCACAATTTCTGTCATATCTTTACGCGTCATTTTGTGTGACGATGGCATTTTGCAAAACAGAGAGTTACACAAAATGCGTTCCCTAGCTAGTTCCGTACAATATTTTGAAATAAAATGTAACATTTCTTCATGAGTTCTACCGATTATGTACAAAATTTGGCAGACAATTTGACTTCACCCGTCACTTTGAAGTCCGTCAAACAATAACATGGAAACAAATCAGCGACATTCAGGAAATAGACTCGTTTGATATTTCCATCAGTGGAAAATGGCTGATTTAAGTTAAGCCCAAGTGATATCGATGAAGCAGCACAAAATGCCTCAATCTCTTCATACATACATAATTTTCTTCCATAACTGGTGTTGAAATCAACATTTCATCACCAGTTTTGTAATATTTTACTTTACGCAACTGATTACGTAAAGTGAGACGTTTCAAAACTTTTGTCGGCTTTGAAAAATGTCAAATTACATGTGAAAATTAGAAAAATAATAAGTATTCCTATGACTCCATATCTCGAAAACTATGATTATATATTTTATTTATTTTTGTGAGTACTATGCATGGCCTGCTGAATTTTCCCTATCATAATCTTGAACACCTTGTATTTATATTGGAGATTGAATTATAGCTCAAAGAATCAAAATTCTGAGGAAACTGCATAAACTTTTGAATTATGGTGTTGATATTATCAATGGAACTATTGCCAATGGTATTATGGTAAGTTTATTATTATATATTACATAACTACACTAGACAACGTACAGAGTGATATATAACATATACCTACCATAAATAATTACGAGCTTTGGATTATAATACCTCATAATACTTGAACGAATAACTCTGTGAAGATTTCGTACCATCAAATGAATCGAGTAGGATTTATCCTATATATCAATTATTCAACTATAGAACATTCTTCTTTTTCAGTTGATCATGCTGAGTTGTCTTGTTCATCTGATAGTAACGCCATATTTTCTGGTAGCAGAGTTGATCAAGGAGAAATCAAATATTTTATTCATATTCCTGCAGATATTCTGGATTATAACGCATACTTGTAGACTCCTGATCATTGTTGAACCATGTCAAGCTTGCTCATTAGAGGTAATAAGATTCTTGAAAATTATGAAAATTGATTCTCTATGCTTATTATCAAATATTTTATCCGTCAATCCAAAAAAAAGTTACGAATTTACTGGAAAAGTACGAATTATTTTCATGAATGCGATATTTCCATGTAGGCGATTTCAACTAGCAACACTCTCCTAATTGGGAATCCGTCACTGATTTTCAAAAACAAGAATTCAATAATATATACCTACTATACATACTAACGCAATACCTGATATAGGGTGTTAGTTATTCAATGGCAAATTCTAATATTTTTGTTTATTTCAATTCACCATGTATCGAAAACTTAGATAGGTACGGAGTTTAATCGCTGTAACTTCAACAGGGAGACCACTCTAGGACTCTGAGGTCAACCAAAAATTTCATGAAATTAAAGTTGAAATGTTCTCCTTATGATCCATATATTTTTTCCTGAAATATATGAATGATAGTAACTAATGGGAGTTAACATTGGACGATGGCTCCGACGGAATCCCACCGATTGTTCTCAAGAAATGTGCTCCCGAACTAGCACCTGCTCTCTGCAAGTTGTTCAACTACTCTTAGAAATTGGGGATATACCCGTCCAACTGCAAGATTGCAAGAGTACAACCAGTTCCTAAAAAAGGTCAAAAGACCCTACCTAGCAACTACAGACCGATCGCACTGCTATCTATTATTTCAAAGATCATGGAGAAAGTTATCAACATAGAGCTCATGAAATACCTGGAATATTCTGGTATTATCAACGATAGGTAATATGGCTTCCGTCATTAGAGATCAACTGGTGACCTGACCGCTTACGTCACACATATATGGCAGCAATCTATTGAAAAATATGGTGAAACCTTAGCCGTGGCACTTGATATCTCCAAGGCATTCGATCGAGTCTGGCACCACGGACTCCTTCCATCTTATGACTTGCTTCCCCAGCTATGTCTGCTAGCTAGTTTTCTCTCAAACAGGTCTCTCCATGTAGTGGTCGACGGAGTTTCATCTGACTCTCTTATCATAAATGCTGGTGTTCCGCAAGCATCAATTCTAGCACCAACACTATTTCTACTCCATATCAACGATTTGTTTGAAGCAACTTCATGTCCAGTACACAGCTTCGCGGATGATAGTACCCTCCATACCGCCTTCTCTTCCAGGGCTCCAATACCAGCCAGGCAAATCAGAAACGAGCGAGGGAGAAATGTTTGACAACATAAATATGGACTTGGCAACAATTCTCTTGCTTGTCAGGAGTAACCATACTCTTGAAGACATCCATTTCGATGCTTGGGAATACTATCAGCAATAACCTTTCTTGAGAAAATCACGTGAGATCAATTGCTAAAAGTGCATCTCAAAAACTTGGTTTTCTGTTTCGAGCCAGGAGCTAGTTCACTTCCAGTCAGCTGCTTATGATCTATAAGGCACAGATCAAACCTGTCCTGGAATACTGTTCCCATATTTGGAGTGCAGCACCCAAACATACCCTGAAACTGTTGGATTCTGTCCAAAAAAGAGCAATTCGTCTCGTGGGTGATGCCTCGCTTACAATAAACTCACTCACTTCTCTGGAACACCGTAGAAAAGTTGGCGATCTGGCTCTATTTCATAGATATTTTCATGGACGATGCTCTCCTGGAATATCAACAATTGTTCCTCCCTTGGCAGTCCCCGCGAGATTAACCCGTCGAGTTGAGGCTCCGCACTCCTTCGTGGTCACTTTGGAGACCTGCAGATCATCTATTTCCAAAGACTAGTTCATCCAACGAACAGCAAGGCTCTGGAACACATTGCCAAGGGAGGTGTTCCCCGAGGCATATAACCTCCAAAAATTTAAGAAGAACACCAATTCCTACCTTATTTCTCTTGGTTCTCACGATGTTCTCTGAACATCACAGGATATCCCTTTTCGTGGAAACCAAAACATAAAAAAAAATATTGTCCACCATATCGCGCCACTGAAACGTGAGGTAAAATTAATAAATAACCTCTCTTTATGATTTGGCCTCTTCTTCCCTAGGATATCTTCTCCGTGAATGTAAGAATTGGTCGAAAAGTTCCAAATTGGGAGTAAAAAAACGTAAGTCTGCTCAAGTCTTTCCATATAACTTGAGGTTTCCTATGTGTTCAAATATTCTACATAATTTTTTCCCAATATTTTTGATGAAACTGGCCACAGCCTTTCGGGCTATCTGGCAAAATTTTAGAATTTTTGACTTTGAGATTGACCTCACATATTAGTAGCGCCAAAGTGAGACTTAAAATATTAGCCCTTCTACTTATAACAGTAGCGTTGAAATTTTGTATGGGGTATTTCAGCTATGCCTGAATCGAAAAAGCTTTCTATTTTTCGAAAAAAAAAAGCTTAATAGTCATTTTTGGAATTATGACCCCTTCAACAAATAATAGTATGCTTTGAGCTTTGAGAATCGGAATATTTCACACTTGTCAACACCTTTGTTGAGTACTATATTAACGAATTTTTGTTTTCGAATATGGGTCGAACGGATTCCAAAATGGAAGAATGTTGCGAGTTGAAATAACACACACTGTATTTAATATTATTTTCAAGGGCCAACGTACCAATATGCTTCTTTGTGACCTACTGTTATTGAATAATACTGATGATGAGTTCGAAAAAGCTGTGAGTATAGATATCTATTGGAAGATTACTTCTTTCAGCATATTTCTGGTGTTTCAGGTGAAGTCATTCAGCTTATATTTATCTCAGAATCACATAAGGTTTTCTTGTTCTGGTTTGTTCACGATAGACAGATCTCTCATCACCTCGGTAAGTTATGAGCGAGAAAAAAAGTCATCATTTGAGAAATCTTTTTCGTAGATTGCTGGGTCAGTGACAACCTATATAGTGATATTGTTCCAATTCAATAATAACTGAAACTACAACTGGTATGATACATAGAGCAATATGCATATAATTATGTTCCCTAACTCGGTAGGGGTAGAGATTGCTTGTCTGCCAAATGTATTTTTCCGAATGTATATTCTATACCCAGACAACACGAGTGAATCCATTGGACAACCAATGGATGTCCAGCTATGGATACCCTGGACATCCATTGGATGGACGGCATTGTCCAGTATTTGTCCAATGGACATCCATTGGATAATACATGTCCAACAGTTTGGACATACATTGGAAGTCCATTGGCTTTCCATTAGACATCTGATGGATTTCCATTGGACATCCAATATTTGTCCTTTCCATTGGAAGTCTATTGGATACTCATCAGACATTCGATGGATTCCCAATGAAGATCCATTGTATGTTCATTACATTTGAAATACCATTGTATACACATCAGAACTCTAATGGATGTCTACCAAAAATCCAACTTATGTCCATTCCAATGATAAGTCTATTGGATACTCATCAGGAATACATTGAATTTTCATTGGATATCCAAATTTTGTCCAGCCAGAACGTAGAAATTAAAAAAAAGTTGTCCTTTGAGGGGATTGAACTCCCGACCCCGCTCTCGTGGATCACAACGCTAACCTCTGGACCACTGAGCCGTTATAGATATTATAGCAAGTATTTCGTATTCACGGTATTCCACATCGAGAGAAAATGCAATTTGCTGAAGTTTAGTGCCGCAATTAAAATTGAAATTGGATGAAAATCAACTTTAAAATAAGTACCTATCTCTATATAGGTACGTAACCTACAAAAATTATGAGACGTATAAAATCTTGAAAAATAGTACCGAGTGCGAAGTTGTCCGTGATTAATGTTCATATATATATTATATATTATTGGTAAAAATATTTCAATTGAAATAGAAGAGTCATAAATGACACATACAGGGTGACAGGGTGTTTCATAATTGAATGTCAATATTTGGGGACGCAATTCTTGGGCCCATTCTAAGAAGAAAGTTTCATATGAACGTATGACCTAAACATCCTAACTTTTGAGATACAGGGTGGTAAAGTTCTCAAAAATTAATAGTTTTTTATTAATATCTGTAATACCACTTCAGATATTCTGATGAAATTTGGCATACATGTACTATGTATCAAGAGGCATCAGTTAGCGTACCACATTTTTTGTTGTTGCCACCAGTGGCGTTCGTATGGAATTTCACATACCTATTTTGGCAGACATTGATGGTACGCCACTGATTAATCTCCAAATTGAAATCATTCCTGAAATTCCCGATCATTTCTAAGCAAATTTGATCACTACAATTTTTTCAATCTGATGCACGGTTTTCGCTTAAAAATAAAAAGCTTTTCACTACATGATTATAGTAATATTTGTTAATATGATAATATCACAATGCAGAGAAATAGTTTTTATTTTTAAGATCAAATTTCAGAAATACAATTCATAGTTCATGAACTTTGTATTCGTATTTGGTATTTTCGAATTATAACTTCTCATTGTAGTAGGCTATATTAATTTTCGAGAATTTTACCACCCTGTATCTCCAAAGTTGGGACGTTTAGGTCATACGTTCATATGAAACTTTCTTCTTAGAATGAGCCCAAGAATCGCCTCCTCGAATATTGACATTCAATTATGAAACACCCTGTATACTTTGCGAAACGATTTCCATTGGATAAGTATGATGGATATCCATTGGCTGTAAAAATTTCGTTGTCCATTGTACAACTACAAAATGGATGTCCATTGTATGTACAAATCTCTATGTCCATTGTACATATACACAATGGATGTCCATTGGACATCCATGGACATCCGGCTACCTAATGGATTCAAAATGGACATCCAATGGATGTATGTGTGTTATCTGGGTATAAACAAGAGTAAAGACAATTGAAAGTGAATTCATTATATGTTCTCTCTTCACTGATTTTTATAGTTCACAACGTATTTTATAGTATGTACTATTAGGGTCGACTGCTTATTGACAACACTGTAAGGAAATTGATCCATTCCATTAAAATTCCTTTTTTATCGACCACCACGATAACTCCAAAAAATGTTGGGAATTTTTCTGCTATTCTGGATATAGCGATTTTTGCTGCTTGAGTAGGTGAAATGTCATTTTTTGAATGTATATTCTACTAAGAAGAGTAAAGACAATTGAAAGTAAATTCATTATATTTTCTCTCTTCACTGATTCTTACAGTTCACAACGTATTTTATAGTACTATTAGGGTACTGCTTATTGGCAACACTGTAAGGAAATTTATCCATTCCATTGCAAGCGGATCCAATGTTTCCTTTTTTATCGACCACCACTATAGCTCCAAAAAATTTTGGGTATTTTTCTGCTATTCTGGATATGGCAATTTTTGCTGCTTTAGTAGGTGAGGCACCATCTCTCATCTTTTCAACAGCCAAAAAACTAAAAAAAAAAAACAATCAACGAAGAAAAATTATACAAGTAGAGTTTATTATTACAAATTCAACAATGCCGGGTTTGATGGGATTTTTTCAAACGACTACGAAGATATGGCAAAAAATAAAACGATTCAATAAAAAAATTATTTGACTAGATTTTATCAATATAACACGATTGAAATCGAATGAAAAGAAAATAATTGAAATCTAATAACCACCAATTGTCTCGATGGTGATAGCAACTGGCCAGCTCGGTCGCCAGACCTCACCCCACTTGATTTTTATTTGTGGGGCTACTTGAAACAACAGGTTTATGAGTCGCCAATTGTGAATATGGAAGAAATGAAAGAGAAAATCACAAATTCATACGCACAAATTAATCGCAACGTGATAAGTAGGGTCACAATGATGAACGTTATCAAAAGAGCTAGGAAATGTTTGCAGCAGAATGGACGACATATTGAGCAGTTGAGGTTTCAATTATTTTCTTTCCATTCGATTTCAATCGTGTTATATTAATAAAATCTAATCATATAAATTTTTTATTGAATCGATTTATATTTTGCCATATCTTCGTAGTCGTTTGAGAAAATCTCATCAAACCCAGCATTGTTGAATTTGTAATAATATGAACCTCACTTGAATATGGAATAATAATAATATGGAAACTGGGTGTCCCTATTCAAATAGAAAAGCTTAGGTGCAGTTCGATGTGACCCTGTATACTTACTATTCATTCAATAGCATATTTCGAGTGAGCATCATCAAATATACTGGGTGACCGAATTTCAAGTCATACGATCGCGCGGTTAATTTTTTACAAGGGGGGACGTTTTAGCTGGGACACGGTGTATATCTTGATTTGCAATCATTGTCAAGAGTTCGAAAATCGATCAAACTTTGTTAGTTTTGTACGACCATCATAAATGGAAAAATAAGGAAGATAATTATATAGGAATATTCAGTGAGGTTATTTCTGGAAAATATGTTAATTTTTTGAGAAACATGAAGTTGAGAATGTAAACTTGAAATAATGAGGAATTTGTGAATTCTAAAAATCCCCTTAAGTCATATGAATTTTGTACCAACCTGGGCAAAAATCTCATGGTGATATCACCATCGCCAGTGCAAACTGCAGCTCCATATTGACTGTCAGCGTATGCTCCAGCGCCAGGTATAGGTGAATCACCAACTCTCCTAAGCGGAATGATGAAAAATAAATACAAATAAATACAATAAGCTTATAGTCATATCCACACAATGTTCATAAAATGAACAACAATGGTAGATTCTGAGAGGAAAACAACTACTTTCCTGACTAATGCCACGCAGAATATTGTTTACATCCTCCCGAAATCTAATAAGCGTCGACTTGTATAAACGAATGAAGATACAAGTGAATCTTTCCTGAATGCCTATTCAAAGAATTCCTCTTTGGCCTAATGATTTCCTTTAGCCAGGCCACGCTAGACACCTACAGACAGGTTTCGAGCTCTTTGACTCTTATCCTTATCAGTGCAGGGTAGCCTCCAGCCAGCAGTCCTAAGACCGCCGGTTAAGCGAAGCCTAGCCAAGTAGCAAAATAAAAATCAAGTCGGCATTATATTCCCCAAGAGGCGTCCTTCATAGGCAATATGAAAGCAATGCCATCTGAGTAGAAACGAATGAAAGGAACACTCCAAAACCACAGTAGAGAGCTCTCTACTGTGCCAAAACTGAAATTCCCGTACGGGAGTGGCTGGTTGTCCGACTGGCGTCATTTCAACTACGAAATAGCCATATTGCTCAAAGTGGAATGAAATGTTAAATAAATACAAGCTATACAATCTCATTTGCCTCCAAATAACATAACAGTTTTTTTCAATTATAATAAGTGCTTACGGAGTACGGAGTTCTGGAAAAGAATGTTGAGAAATGGAATGGGATTCCAAAAATTTCACGAGATAGATCGACTATTTATAATTGTAGAGAAACAAAAAAAAAAAGTGAGCACAGAAGGTATATTGTATCTATTATTTCAGTTAGTTAGAAAATCGATGGTTTCTTCCAGATAATACTGGATACTGGATATCAAAACATACTCAAATGCTCAGTGGTGCACAAACCGAGACACAAACACTCAACTATTTTAATTTTTATTGATATTACGTCATTACCCGGGAATCTTGAACTTCGCGCCATTTGTTGAAGTCCCGGCAACCACATGCCCATTTCCAGCAATGACAATCATACCGATAGTATCATGATTCTTGGAATCATAGTTGTTTCCACGATTTTCATCAATTTCCCTGCTACTTTGCTCCTGAGGTGGATAATACGGCCCACAAGAATGTTTTGGATCAGGCACCACATTCTAGAAATAGTTATTTATACACCAAATGTAGTAATTTATTATACAAGGGAAAAAAGTAGGTTTGGAGAAGAGATATAGGTATATATAGAGAAATATCAGATTTTCACTTAGCTTTGGACGTTTCGGGAACGAATCTGCTCCCGTTTTCAACATATAAAAAATAGATATTTGAATAGCAATTTCTTATTCGTCTTGACACTTTTCAGTTCTCAGTTACAATTAACCTACAGAGACAGTATATGAGCAGTTCACTGATATCGTTGAATCAACATTGACATTATTTTTGGATCAACATCATACCTTTTTTCAGAGATGACCATATATTTTGTTGATATAATATTGATATTTTACTCTGTTAATTCATTCTTACCGAGATTCTTACTCTACATTCTTGATTTGAACAAGTTTCTCTGAATTAATTTGTTTTGACAAAAATTTGCTCAGTAGGTACAACAAAAATAATTTAGGCACAAATAATTTGTTGATGCAACCAATCCTTTTTCCTATGTAAGTATTTCACGCAGAGTAGGTATTGTCAGTCCAAAAAGTCAGATGGAACGCCTTTTTTGAAGCTGAAGCTGTCCCAATAGACTTTGGAAAGACTATACCACAGATTAACAGTTAATCTGTGACTATACAGAGAATATTTTTTCGACTAACCTTCCAGAAATTTGGTTGACATTTATTGTTTATCCAGTTTTTCCACTGGCCTAATGAAAAATTAGTCTGAAGCGATTCTTCACGATAGCCAAATTGCACTGCAAACCCGGTAGCTAAGCTCCCAACCAAAAAGGAATGTTCTGTGTGCTCTAGCACCTGTCTAGCTACAGATATAGCGTTTTTGACCCTTCTGAGACTACCTACGGCTCCCATATCCATAACATCCCTAAAACGGTAAGAAAATTGTAATAGGTATAATTAATGATTTTCGCTACACGAATTAAAAATAAGTTATGGAAACAGAAGATTTTTTCCACACACCCGTCAAAAATCATGGCGTCTAGAGCTGTTTCGCCATTCTCATCGGGCGAACCGCCAAACCCCACAGTAGTATCACACTGTTCGTCTTGGCAAGTCTCACATCCAGCTGTCAGAGCATCTAGGGCTGCATCCTTTTGTTTTGATTCTCCTTCTTGCAATATCTGCCAAGCTAAAAGAATGAACAGAGATAAAGTAGCTAACATACATAGAATATATTATCTGAATAATAGTTGAAATGCCTGAAATAAGGTTGATTTACCTTTTCTGGTTGCATCTTGAAAACCCCACGTATTTACAACTATGGGAATTGTTTCTGATAGTACAATAGCAACATACAATAGTTGCAAAATCAAGAAAAGTTTCATCTTTGCTGGTTCCCTGAAAAATTCGGATCTAACTTTTGTGTAGTAGGTTTATTCAAAATCGACGTTGTTCCTAAATTTTGTACACTAGTTTGTTTGATTCGACAGCAAGTAGCAAGTATATAAACAACCATAGCTTTCGATACGGACGCAACACGTTATTCATTATGACTTCTTCGCATCAGTAGTTATTGCCCCAGTTTATCAACAATTCCTGAATTCTTTGTCATCTCTCCTCGACTTTATTTTGCGATAAAGATATTCGAATTAGAAACGTTTTGATGATTGGTCTAAAAATGCATTCGTACCGGAAAACATGGTTGTTTGAATTTCTTGTTGACAATCAAGAATCCTTAAGAATCAAACACCTAACCTAAAACAAGGATCCTAAAACACCTAACTTTTATTTTGAAAAAATTTTTGGAGCGTATGCTAAGTATAAAGTGATAGTGCATTGACAAGTTAGTGAAATAATAATTATTATCCTGATGTGAAGAGCATGAGCATAATATTTACCTGATGAATATGGAAGATAAACAGGAATTCACTCCCAGTTCCCAACAATGTGAACAATCGTTTTATTCCATATTAGGATGTGATCAGGATGCTACTTTCGATGAATTGAAACACAACTATCAGATCCTAGTCAAGAAACATCACCCTGATAAGCAAACGCAAGAAGGAATTGATTTTATCTCTGATGACAAGTTTGTTATGATTGATAAGGCATTCAAAACATTGAAAGATGAGAAAGCGAGAAAGGAATACGACGCCTCCTTACTACATGGTAGTTTTGATAACAGTTCTTTGATTTATGCAGAAATAGAAAAAAAGGACTTGAATTTTGTTATGGGTGTTTTTTATTTTACTTGTAGATGTGGTGACAATATTGAGATAACTGAGGACATTATTGAGGAAGGAGAGTGTATAGTGGAATGCTCTGAATGTACAAATTGTATATTGATTAAATGATTTTTGCATAATTAATATTTTATTGAAAATGGTTCAATTCAGGTTCAAAATAAATTCAATTGTCACTTATTGGTTGACATTTTTGACAAATTGTCAGTTGACTGCAGGTTGTAAGAGCTCGTGAAGTGGGCTGCCAGAGCTGGCTGCCAGAATTTCCGAACTTTCCCGATCGACCAGTGGCACACGTTTCCCCCCTTTTAGGGTATATCGAAATTCCTCAACTGCTTTTGTTTGCGATGATGCGATGTATGTATAAAGCACTGCACAGCTGCTCTTGGGTCTCGAATCATTCTCTATTGAGTCTATAGAATAATCATTTTTTACCAAATCATAGGCATGAAAGACTAAAATTTAAAAAATATTCTATTTTCGATACTTTTGCAAAAAACTGCTCAGCTGCTTTCGGGTCAGGAAGATAGGTAATCATGTGTGGAATCATGCTATCAGAAAATAATTCCTTGCCAAATCGTTTGGTAGACACCACACGAAAAAAACAGATTTTCCGAAAATATTTAAAAAACTTTTGCAAAAACTGCTCAGCTGCTCGCAAGGAATTATTTTTTGATAGCATGATTCTACACATGATTACCTATCTTCCTGACCCGAAAGCAGCTGAACAGTTTTTTTGCAAAAGTATCGAAAAATAATATTTTCGAAAAATCTGTTTTTTTCGTGTGAAGTCTACCATACGATTCCGCAAGGAATTATTTTCTGGTAGCATGATTCTACACATGATTACCTATCTTCCTGACCCGAAAGCAGCTAAGCAGTTTTTGCAAAAGTATCGGAAATAGAATATTTTTTAAATTCTAGTCTCTCATGCCTCATGCCTATGATTTGGTAAAGAATGATTATTCTATAGACTCAATAGAGAATGATTCGAGACCCAAAAGCAGCTGTGCAGAGCTTTATACATCGCATCATCGTAAACAAAAGCAGTTGAGGAATTTCGATATTCCCTACCCTAAAAGGGGGGAAACGTGTGCCACTGGTCGATCGGGAAAGTTCGGAAATTCTGGCAGCCAGCTTTGGCATTCCACTTCAAGTAGGTATGAAGAATTGAATTTTCTAACCCTACTTATTCATGATGTCGAATTTAAGAAAAATAACAATTTCAAATAGTGAAAAGAAGTTTTTGATAAAAAATCTCGCAGAATGGACTGTAAGTGTCATTGGTTCAAATTTCGACAAAAATATTCATAATCCCATGGTATTTTTAGAGGTTAGATGGTAGGGCTTTTGACGAGTTTAGAGAAGTGGAGATAGAATTCGGAAAGGATTGGGGCTGTTGCTATGTATCTCTTGGTAAAACAAGGTAAATCAATCATCAGGGCTGCCTCACACATATAACAATGTTTATTTAGAGTTCTAGCCCAAGTTTCATCTGAAATTCAACAACCAAAGTCTTCAAGACCAAGTGAAGGCATTCTGAACATAAACCTGGAGCTCAACCCAATAGCAGCACCAAATTTCGAAGCAGGCCGACAGTCAGAATTAGCTGTACAACTAAACAGACTATTGGAAAAATGTCTGAAAGATTCCAAAGCCATAGACCTGGAGTCTCTCTGTATAAAAATGAATGAAAGAGTCTGGGCAATCAGAGTAGATGTGAATGTTCTAAATCATGAAGGTAACATTCTGGATTGTGCTTCTATTGCAGCTTTAGCAGCATTGGCACATTTTCGTAGGCCAGATGTAACTAGTGATGGTGAAGAATTTATTATTCATAGTTATAAGCAGAGAGATCCCATTGGTATGGTTATACACCATTACCCAGTTTGCATTACTTATTCTGTATTCAGTGGAGGGTATGTATACTACATAAAAAACACCATAAAATCTAGTCAGTTATTTTCTGACTGTTCAAATATTTTTAGGGCCTATATTCTGGCTGACCCCACTTTACTAGAAGAAGGTGTAGCAGATGCCTTTTTGTCCATAGGTGTGAATGCCTACAAAGAGCTGTGTGGTCTTCATCTAGGAGGGAAAGCTGATTTGAGTCCTGATTTGATTATAAAAACTGGGAATAAGGCTGCTACTAGAGCAGCCATAGTTGTTCAGCAAATAAAAGATGCAATCGAGAAGGACAATCAAAAAAGGTAGGCAGTATAGTCAATGATCTAATGTCATTATCATTTTTATTAAATCAAAATCTAGTTCAGTGTGTAAAGCAAATCATAATTTCTGAAATATGTTTTACCAGGTTATCTTTCAATGAAGAACTGACTATAAGACTATTATAAGAGGATAATCAATACAGTTTTTCTCCATGATATTTTATATGATCAAATGAGTTTCTGTTCTGTTTCTGACATATACAGGGGTTCCCAAAAGAATCAGACCAGCTGAATATTTCAGCAAGGGCTAGATATAAAATTATGAAATTTGGTATATGGGGGTAATCAGTTGTGCGGGATCTAAAAATAATATTTGCAACTTTGCCAGTTTTACAGTTTTTCCTATAGAGCCCTCAACTTTATTTTTTTTAATGTAATGCTATGTTTATTTTTAGAGCATTTGATTTGTCCTCTCTAAACTACTATGATCCTATAATATCAAATTTGTATTCCCTTCATTTTTGTTAATATGACAAATGAACATTTCCTCAAAAAATATCACAAAATTTCAATATTTCCAGAAATCGTGGTGATATGACAATAAAAATTAATTTATAAGGAAGTTTTCAGCAAGTCTGATCTGAAAATACCATTTACAACGTTGCCAAATCTACATGTTGTTTATACTAAATCTTCCTAAGTATTTATTCTGATTTTAAGATCAAATAAGGATGAACAAGGTTTCCATAAAACTATTCTAGAGGATATTGAAATACCCTTGGAAGATTTGAGTATATGCTTAGATCAGTGGTCAAGTAAAGGCAAAAAGAATAAAAAGAAGAAAAATAAGACTGAAAAAAATAAACCCCAAGAAAAAATTGTAACTTCTGAGGACAATGAACCAAGAAGTGAAGTTGAATCTCTGGGTGAGTATATCTTATTCATAGGCTACCTCAACAGATTTCCAAATCATTCCTACCATAACTTGCTAGCAAGAATTCAAGAAATTTTCTATAAATAAAAATATCTGGGATTGAAAACATTCCCAAAAGTGTCACCTGTGCTTTCAAGCAATGCACCATTGTGAATTAATTCCATTGACTTTTTTCAAGTCATGAATTCATTCAAATTTTTAAAAATGAGACAAATTGCACTATTACCTTTGATTTAAACTAGTTTAAACTGAAAAATTCGATCGTATTTTGGCAAGACTTTGTTATTTCAAGCATGACAGAGATTTTTACTAACAGATATATACAGTATCAAGTATCATCCATTAAGAGGCCATATGCCACTCGAAATTATTCGAATCTTATCAGTTTTCTGTCTTATCCCTTCCCCGTCGAAAGGGGCGGGATCAACCTGAAGAATTCGTGGAAAGCTGGAATCCCTATGTTCATCGAGCGGCACATCGAGGACACCGAACATAAAGTAGCGCGACACCGTTTTGATTACTTTTTGCCGCTCACTGACAACCGGTTGATTATTCATCGAAGGCAGTCAAATGGTCTCATAAATACTAATATTTTGAACTTTTGTCAGTAGGTACCAATTCGATTTTAGGGGCTGGAGATTAGATATTTTGTACATTTTTGATAATTGACCAATAGGTATAGGTATGATGATTATATTATCTACAGGATATTTTCGAAATTAGAGCGATACATACTAAATATGGAATAATGTATTTTTTTTGCTAGAAGCGCACGGAAGGGAATCCTCATCTAAGGAGGATAGGGAAAGGAGGTAGGTATTGGATTTTTTTATAACTTTTGGGGAACATACCTAAGTACTTGGAAACATACTGAAGAAGCTAACAAAGCTACTTTCGATGTTCAACATGAAACACATCTCATAATTTTAGGCTCATTTTAGGCTAATTTGTTACCCCATTACCGAATTTTCTGCTCCTCTCTATTATAGATATTGAGGGGCAACTTCAGGCTAATTAATTACCCTATTTTCGAATATTTTGCCCAACGTTTCGAACGAAAAAAAAAACACGAAACGATTCGTTATTCACTAAAATGGAATAGTTATTGAGCTAACAATCTAACACTTTGCCTTATAAAATATGCTTCTGATAGAAATGCATGATGTATAGTGAATAACGCATATATCGACGAATCGTTTGGTGTTTTTTTTTTGCTCCGAAGCGTTGAGCACAAAATTCGAAAATAGTGTAATCAATTAGTCTTAAATTTGCCTTTCAATATCGATATACAGTGTGTCCCACTTACCATGCTCACCATGGGTATCTTTTTAACGGTGAGAGATACGAGATCGGTTAAATGACACCAAATGTGGAGTTTGTCAAGGCCAACTATAATATGAAAAAATATTTTGATAAAATTCATTCGTTTTTGTTTTATACGCAAAAAACAGATTTTGATCATTTTCATGTCTCCTCCGTAACTTCTTTATTTATGAAAATATTCAAATAGGAATTTCACATTCTCATGGCAGTTTTCCGAAGTGATTTCGAAAAAAATATGAAATTTATACCAACTCTTCTAGAATTTGAGATATCAGCACCAACTTTAGTTTTTCAAATGTAGGTCATAGCTCACTATGACTTGGTTACAAATAACTTTTTTTTTTAGTTATCGTCATTTATACAAAAACAAAAAATTAGTTGGAAGCCACCATCTTGAATTTGTAAATTTTGACAAAAAAATCATGATCTCCGACCTCAGAAACCCCCACTTACCAATTTTGAATGGAATCGGACCAAATCTTGTCCGCCATCTTGGAGCAGCCATTTTTTTCAATTTCAACAAAAATTCCATAATGTATTGTCACCGAAATTATGAACACTTGCCAAATTTCAAGTTGATCGGAGTTATCGAATTTTTGTAGAAATTAAAAAAATGGCTGCTCCAAGATGGCGGACAAGATTTGGTCCGATTCCATTCAAAATTGGTGAGTGGGGGTTTTTGAGGTCGGAGATCATGATTTTTCTGTAAGAATTCTTAAATTCGATATATAGCGGCTTCCAAATAATTTTTTGTTTTTGTATAAATGACGATAACTCCGTTGGTATCAACACAAAACTATTACTGCGACATATCATCTGTGAGAGAAAAAAAAGTTATTTGTAACTGAGTCATAGTGAGCTATGAGTGCTATGACCTACATTTGAAAAACTAAAGTTGGTGCTGATATCTCAAATTCTAGAAGAGTTGGTATAAATTTCATATTTTTTTCGAAATCACTTCGGAAAACTGCCACGAGAATGTGAAATTCCTATTTGAATATTTTCATAAATAAAGAAGTTATGGAGGAGACATGAAAATGATCAAAATTTGTTTTTTGCGTATAAAACAAAAACGAATAGATTTTATCAAAATATGTTTTCACATTATAGTTGGCCTTGACAAACTCCACATTTGGTGTCATTCAACCGACCTCGTATCTCTCACCGTTAAAAAGATACCCATGGTGAGCATGGTAAGTGAAACACACTGTATATCAAATCGGTGAAAAAAATATTATTTTTAAAAGTGGCTCTGCTGAGTTCGCTCGAAGACAGCAAAGCCACAGGTTTGTTTTAAAAAATATGCAGCGAAAAAATCCAAAATGGAATAGTTATTGTGCTCACAATCGAGACTAACACTTTGTTTTGAACAATCGTCATAAAATATTATGCTTTTGATAGATGCATAATGTATAGGTACTGAATAACCGCGTATTTCGACGAATCGTTTCGTCTTTTTTGCATGAAACGTTGAGCAAAAAATTCAAAAATAGGGTAATAAATAAGCCTAAAATTAGACTTCCAATATCGATCTATCAAATCAGTGAAGAATATTTTATTTTCAAAAATGGCTCTGCTGAGTTCGCCCAAAGCCAGCAAACCCACAGGTTTGTTTTGAAAAATATGCAGCAAATTGTTCTAAGATGGAATAGTTGATGAGCTTACAATCAATACTAACATTTTGGCTTGCAAAATCGTCATAAAAGATGCTTTTGATAGATTTTTTTGCTTGAAACGATGAGCGAAAAATTCGAAAATAGGGTAATGAATCAGCATAGAATTAGCTTTTCAATATTGATCTATCTAATCACTGAAAAATATATTATTTTCAAAAATGGTTGTTGGGGTGTAAGCAGCTTTTCGCAAGAAACGAAAATCCAAGTTTTTGTGGAGCAGATTTCGCGCCAATGGATCTGACCTGATTATGATTATCCTTTTGCTGACTAAAATACCGAGAATATATAGTTATAGTGGACTTGGTGGGAATGGTGGCATCAGACATAGTTATATCAGGCACTAGCTCACCTGGCAAACTGAAACTTTGTATTGCATTAAACATTATTTCTAAAAAATATTTTTTCAGTTAAACATATGTATGTATCAACACACTTTTTCTATTTTATTTTCTACTTCTATTTAGTTTGGCTATCCATGAAAGCGTGTTGCAGTAGTTTTTCAAACTTCTATACATTATTTTCTAGATCCTTCGAATTCATTGGAAAGCAAAAAACGCATACCTACCTACCACCAGAAGGATTCCATCTCGGATTCTATCTATAGATATATTCCATATGACTATTATCATCTAGGACATTTATCTGTGAATGAGTGAATCAGTATTTCATTCATTTTCTTCAAAATATTATGGAAAATGTAAAATGTCTTATAAATCTTGGAGTACTTTTTCGCTTCCCTCACCTATTCTAATTCCAATTCTGCAAATGTTCATTCTCCCTAACCGACGATGCTGCATTGATTAGGTATTTTTGGATATATAATTCTCTAACTAACCGTCTGAGAGATTTCATCTATATATTCCATTCAATTATATATTATTATCTAGGACATTCATTTGTGGAATGAGTAGATCAGTATTCCATTCACTTTTTTCAAAATAATATGGAAAATGTAGAATGTCTTATAAATCTTGGAGTACTTTTTCGCTCATCTCACCTGTTCTATATAGAAATGGCGATATGACGAAGCAACCGTGTTTTAAAAAATTAGTCTATATATAGTAAAATTCACCCTGATCCATTGAATCATTTTATCATGTTCCTGATATCTATATATATTTGTTGGACTATAGGTACTAAAGATATCGTTTAGAACATTCCAGCACTTCCCTGTGTTTGAAGAATTAGAAAAAATATATTACATGACTATAGACATATCACAGTTGCTTTGTTAATTCCATCATGATACCTATGTTTATTATACATCAGATATAAGTCTTGTAGGTTTATTAAACGGAATATAAATAGGTTCGTATCATGAAAAGACAAATTGGATCGCAGACTATTTCGTGAAAATAATAAATATCATACTTCATCATAGGACCATTGACTATCAATAAGGCATTTGAACTTTATGGGAGGAGCTTATTTTTGGCAAGTGCCGCGCCCACAGGGAAAATTCTTCTTCACGGTGCCTCCGCTCCCAATTTCCCATGCGAAAACCAAATAAGATTTCAGTAAATAAAAATTATTTTTGGAGAGTACTACATCTGATCTGTGCATCTTATCGAGTAGTTTTTCCATTTTTGATTCCATAACGTAGAAAAAAATTCACAAAATCGGTCAAAAACGCACTACTTTACAGGTGTTTATAAATTAGTCTATGTAAAAAAATGAAAATCCATTCGATAAGATGCATCGATTGCACCTTTGACTACCCAGAAAAAAAAAATTGAGCCTCTAGCATGATCCATAACCATAGGGGAACTTGGGAGCGGTACCTCGTTTATTGGCGGAGGCGCTGCGGAATATGCCCTCTTAAGTCCATAACATATGAGAACAGGTTTATTATCACAGCATTGCATTTTTTTCTCTCGGCGATCCATTATGCATATCTGATAACTTGAAGATCAATTTTGACACATGTCACATGATCACTGGTATGGTGATAAATAAAAATTATACTATAAAGCAATGAAAAGTGAGGTTAGATAACAAAATATCCATAAACATTTCTTATTAAGTTGCTATTCCACATTCAGTTTCCAGCAATTTTTGGAGGAGAATTGGAAATAGCTATATTTTTTCGGAATATTCTTCAATTTTGTTACACAGTAGCGATGTTGATGATGTACAAGTTGAATAGAATTCAATTTCATGCTCACATATGGAGTTTCCAGCCATTATTTGAGAAAACTGAAGATAGCTATTTTTATTTTTTTTAAATAACTTCATCTTCCCATCTAACCACACTTTTTGCCATCGTAATTTTTTTGAATTTACCGCCATACCAGTGATCAAGTGACATGTGTCAAAATCGACTTCTAAGTAGTCAGAAATGCATAATAGGTCCCTGATATTCTAATAAACTTTTTCTCCATGTGTTAGGAACTTTATGGATGATACTGAATCTATATGTATCTATTATTTTGTATTCTAACATCACTTTTAATTTTGTTTTGAAAAAATGACATGTTATATTATGACGTTATTCTACAAGATTTCTGAAGGGAATAGAAACATTGTTTTATGTTTCTTTTTTTCTATTTTGCTTTGGGTAATAGAATTTGTTTGTTTTTTTTTCAATGAATTAATTCAAAAAAGTCTGACTTAATTCAAGAAGTCGGACTTTGATGACTTTTTTATAAAAGTCATGACTTATTCCAACCCTGCAAAACAGCCAATCAGAACATTTTTTTTATTTTCAGGTAAAGGAATTGCTGCTTTAATCCCTAAAGATGAAGGCATTGCACAATGGGAAGTGAGTGGCAGTGAAAGTGAAAATGATGATGTTGTTTATGTAGAAACACCCAAGCCACTTGGTGAGTCCCATTATTTCACAAGTACAAAATGATTCTAGTAACATATCTACCATTGTTTTTAATTTCAGTGAATTTGGTTTTTGAGGATACTGACAGTGAAGAAGATGCAGTGATAGTTTTGAATGCAGACCAGAAGACCAATAAGAAAAAGAAAATGAAGAAATGATGAAACACCTAATTTTTTTATTTTTAATTATAAAATGATAATTCTGATTTCATACAAAAAATATTCAAAAATGATAAAATAGTTATAATACATAAACAAAACCCATTTAAGTATTATTCAAGTCTCTAACGGCAACCAAGGCAACAGTGTCAAAATTACATACTCTACCTATCTCAAGAAATCTGCTTATAACAAGTGTTCAAACTCAACTTTTCAAAAAAAAAAAAAACAAACAATGGCTTGATTTCACCAAACAATTTCAACAGTGAAAAAAAAATAGAAAGAAATGTCTGTTGAAAAATATACAGCATGAATCAACTACATAATATGACTAGCAATAAATGTCCAAGCCCTATATAGTTTCTTTCAAAAAATTCAAAAGGCTTGGTATCATTTTTAGATCCACAAATGCAGTGAGTTGATGATTCAAAAATGATTATGTGGGACATCCCATATTCAATATTCAATGTAAATAACATATTAAAAGGCAAATTAAAATTGAAAAATCAATTGTCCATAAGGTGTGATTATTTATGAAATGGAAGAAACTTGCAATGAACAGGTCTATTTCATGAATGTCTTCTAGATAGTGTGATAAAGAAAAAAAAAAGAAACCTATCTGATACCAAGTTGAAATATGCCACACAAAAGACCCAGTACTCATGAGAAATATAATTTTAAACAAATTAAGTTGAATAATCCTCACAGCTAGAAAAAATAATCCATTTAAAATGCAGTAATAGTAATACCACTCTGTTGCCTTGTAGTTGTCATTTTAATGATGATTCATAATTGAATCAAATAATTGCACCTGTTAGTTTGTGTCATTATTAATGCCATTTTTCTGGTCCAGTTTGTTGGCATTTGTTTTCACTGTATAGATGAAGAATGTCAGAACTTCCTTTTCCTTCACAGGAATTGTTTTGAAGTGCTTCATCAGAGTCTGAAAATACAAGTAAAATTGCACCATATCACCCTGCATAAAGTTACTTTATATCTAGTTGCTTTAGAGTTCTCTACTTACATCAGCCAGTTGAGCTTTATTGAGCCCTTGCCTCATTGGCACCTTGTAATGTCGTTTGTACCTCCTCAGAGTGTTCACTTGGAGCTGATAAAGATCCACCTCAGGTACATCTGTATCAGTTTCATTGGAGTCATCTTCTGAATCCTTCCGTCTTCTCTTGTTTCTAGCACATTGTATGATCATTTTGTGGAAATCACAGATATAGTTGTGTCTTGCCTGAAACCATGTACCCATCAGCATGTAATTTTTTTTTCAACTTTCAATGACATAATTTTAAACAATGATGGGAGTGGGTGTAATAATTAATCAGTCTACTGAGGCTGGATATCCAATAATTAGATTTTTGGGTAATATTAGAATGGAATTTGCTTACGTTATTATCAATGCCAAGGTTCAACCTCCTTTGTGCTACAGTTTTTTGGATCCTCTTGCTGTACGACGCGTTCCCAGCCGGCTTAGAGCACCGATCACCGTTTTCGATCAAACAACAAATCTGATCAGTGGGGCCTCTTGAATCCTCTTCGCCCGTGCTGAAACCGTTCATTGGTGATTCCGATCAGAAAATCTCCGAATCAGCTGTTTGATGCAACATGTTCGGGAAGGAATGAATAATGCTTTCGGCGCAATGTTTACCTTTACCAGCACTACACAGTTATTTTATTTTATTCTACTTTAACCCCACCAAGCCCGAACTTTTTATGTATAAACATAAATAAACTGAAAACTAAACTGCTTTGAGCACACGGTCGCCGCCGCCGCACCTTCAAACAAACTCTGTCCTCTGCAGCGAAAATCCTCGAGAAAATCACAGACATATAAATAGCAAATCGATTTTTTGACGTTTGACTCGTTTGAGTGTTTTTTTTTCGTTTGTTTTCAGATGACGGAAAAGGGGGGATGACGGATGACGCCAAACGTCCAGTGTTGCAAGAATTTGTTTGCAATTGTACCAACCTAAGTGAAGAAAATATATTTAGTAGGAAACACACTGTGCCAACACCATTTTAGTAATGTTTTCCCGTAGTTTCGAATAGCCTTGATCGAAATCTACATTCTATCCCGAGTACTATTCTTTCTCAACATATTTTTTCTTAGATGAACGATAGATTCAGCTGATAGAGATTCGAATTCATAGCTAGAATATTTCTGATCCGTCTAAAAATGCGTCCATACCGAAAGTCGCGGATGTTTGAATTCTTGTGCTTTATGCGAATGTGATAAATCAAGGTTGGTAGAACAGATGATTCATTGCTAGTGTCGCCATCTTATTGAAACTCTCTGAGTCATTCACTAAATTTCAACCTGTAACTATCTGTAACTAGGTCCTTCTTATTTCATAGTTTTTACTACACTTTGGTAGATGGCGATTTCTGGCTTTGTAGTTTACATTGAGTTCATTGGATTCGGTGGATACGGATACACAGATGATACATAGACATAGATCCATTGTCTGCATAGATCTATGTTGGATATCATCCATTTGACCAACCTTGTTTACAGGAATTACAGGAGACATCTTTCAGAGCCTTTATATCAACATAGATTCAAGGAATCTACACATCGCAAGTACATAAGATCCAATCAAGATGGCACATATCTGACTAACTGTTGTTACTGTTAGCAGAGATCAGTCACTGTCGATCTAAATGTAAACCTAGTAGGCGACCTAGTGCGAGGATGTATTATAGCTCCTGCCTACTAACTACCTAACTAGGTTGTCGTGGTTGTCATCTAGAACGACTATGGTTAGTATACAATTAGTACCATACAGACACCACCTAGTGTAGGTAGGTGGTGTGTGGCTGTTAGCCAACAGATAATCTTTATTATACAGGGTGTCCCAAAATTGCTGGGACACAGAGCTACCACGTGTAGAGGAGGTCAAAATAAGTTGATTGGACCCAATTTATTTATGTGCCAAAATGTACCGTTTGTCCGTGAGAAGGGTTCAAAGTTCACTTGAAAAAACACATTTTTGTACGCTGTTCAGGAATAAGTGGAACGAATTTGATGAAATTTGGCAATAGTATATTTCAGAGGATCACTTTTCTTTTGGTAATCTAAGAAACCTGAAAGAAATTGTAGAAGGGTTGAAACCACCCTCACCCCCTGACGTTTTCTTCAGAACTTTTTTAAGGGTCATGATACGGTTCTGAAATTTTTTGAGCTTGAAGACTCATCAATTACTTTCATTTTATCACTCTTGTAAAAATTTCGTATACCAAATAGTTTCGAAGAAAAAAAATGTTATTTCAAATAATGCTACCAGATATTCCTATAGTAATGGTACCCGCGGTAATAACAAAATTGAAGAATTTATTGAAACATTTACAGACAACGTCAACAACAAACTTGAATGACAATAAATTTGTTTCTTGTCGAAATCACGACTTGCCTTCGTTTCCACTGCCAACTAAGTTTTATATCACAATTTAATTGTAACTTGTACTATAGGAATATCTGGTAGCATTATTTGAGAGAACATTTTTTTTCTTCGAAACTATTTGGTATACGAAATTTTTACAAGAGTGATTAAATGAAGGTAATTGATGAGTCTTCAAGCTCAAGAAATTTCAGAACCGTATCATGACCCACAAAAAAGTTCTGAAGAAAACGTCAGGGGGTGAGGGTGGTTTCAACCCTTCTACAATTTCTTTCAGGTTTCTCAGATTACCAAAAGGAAAGTAATCCTCTGAAATACACTATTGCCAAATTTCATCAAATTCGTTTCACTTATTCCTGAACAGCGTACAAAAATGTGTTTTTTCAAGTGAACTTTGAACCCTTCTCACGGACAAACGGAACATTTTGGCACATAAATAAATTGGGTCCAATCAACTCATTTCGACCTCCTGTACACGTGGTAGCTCTGTGTCCCAGCAATTTTGGGACACCCTGTATATTCTGTATCTGTTCGGTAATTTATTGTCATTTTGAATCTCTATGCATGCATAGTTACATTTTGATGAAGAGACCTCAGTGTGCAAAAAAAATGTCATAGTTATTCCTAGTATTCATATAATGACACTATTGTAACTTTGTAACTTGCAACCTCTACAATTAAATTCTACAAACCATAAATCACATCACGTCGTGATTATTTTTGGTTTGGCTTAGTATTGGTTTGACCAAGCACTAGAAATTAGAAATTTTAAGCTGATGAATCATGAATCATCATGCAGGTCCGCGTACGAATTTCCTTTCGTGCACTCCAAGTGATGAAAAAAATAAGGGTTTCCCGAAATTAGCCTGTCAAACTATTCACCAGCGGCTTCTACGACCAAAAATAGGAAGAAAAAGTTCAAATGAATATGAGTTGTAAAATGTGTCGTAAGGGAGCATCGGCCCCCTGAAAAGGGACTCCTATATGCAAAATGCAGTGAGAATAAAATCGTGTCAAAATTTCATCGAGTCGTAGTGAGCTGGTGTTATATTTTTTTCACTGTGTACGAAAAGTTTATTATTGTCCTTTATTGTAAATTAATGAACTGTCGACTAGTCATCTTCCCTGTACTTAAAAGACATTCGCCATTCGCCCTCCTAATAGCACACACTATAGACTGTTACACTCAGTGCTGTTACATAATCGAGGCTGCTATATAGGTAGCCAGATGTGCATCTAAACATGTTGGTGCCCCCTTCGATGTCCTATGGCACGTGGCAAAATGTGCTTTTGGCAGGTCTTGCCTCCTTATTATAAGTATTCATGACAGTGGGTGCGTATATGCCTCCGAAAATAAAATATGACCGATGTCGATATGACTGTTCTAATATAATATCAGAGATTATGGGTCATATTTTGTAAGTTTGAAAGATTCTGAGAGACATTTTTACAAACTAGTGATTATACCTTTTGTGGTAATGTGCAGAACTTTGAAGTTGAACATAAAAAAACATTGGTGAGTTACTGAATCCTTGGAAGTAGCAAATGAACCATTATGACGTATTTTATTCGAAGTGTTCATTAAAAAGTATGGAAAAGCTAGAAATTGCGTACTTATTTCTTGTCCATATCTAAAAAAATCAAAATCCTGAAATTTTTATTGACTTCCTGAATGTTGTGTACATTTTTGATATTAGATGAAATATGTTTCAATGTATAAAGACCAAATATCTGAAAATATTTATACTGTGTCCCAAAAATCTCTGATATGAATTTTCGTTTTACAGTTATTTCCAAGCAACTGAATTTCCCGATTTTCAATTTTATTTTGGCGACAAAACTAAAAAGAAAATCTTCATGGCAACTTTCGATGTTATTAAATTTGGCATCATCGATTTTCTGGTCCAACGTTTTGTCTATGAGTGACCATCATCAACTTTAATTTTTCCAAATACTTCCCTGATTTCACATTTGAATAGCCCATTCCATTCCGATTTCGACGATATACTATACTATATATAATTTTTGGAATACGGACCTGAATTTTTATAATTCTGTAAAAAGGTTGATTTATGCAATTCATCGATAATTCAATGAAAAATACTTAACAGTGAAGAAATAAACAGGTGCACAGATCAAAAACGTATTTCAACTATTATATACGCAAATGATGAATTCCCAAGAGATGTTCAAAAAGATCAGCATTTCTGGAGTTATATATTGACATACTTCAAGAACCAGTTTTCTGAGTTCTTCTGTTCCGAAGGCTCGCTCATAAACATTGTTCTTGACATATTTTCAAAGAAAGTAGTCTGGCGGGGTCAAATCGGGTGAACCAGCTGGCCAGGGCGTTTCAGAATTTCCTTCTTTTTGTGAATCTGCGTGAGTTTCTAGTAATTCTAGTAGCTCCTGAATTATGTGCAGGTGCATCATCCTGCTGGAACTAACAGTCCTGAACTTACGCCAGTGGCAAATTTTCCAGAGCTTCCTCATCATTTTGGAGTAAATTTGAATAACTCTTCCACATAATTATAGGAAATTGAGTTCCGTATTCCAAAAATTACTTGATGATTAGCTCAAAACCACAAAATGTAGTATATCGTAAAAATCAGAATGGAAGGAGTATTCGAATCTGATATCAAAAAATCAGAGCCGTATTTCAAAAAATAAAGTTGATGATGGTGACTCAAAGAAGAAACATTGGATCAGAAAATCGATGATGACAAATGGAATTTAGCATCAAAAGTTGCCATGGAGATGTGGAGCTAGACCAGTAGTGAAATACATATAATTTCCACAAAGTATATTTTTCAAAATTTTGGGTTAGATAACCATATTTCGGGCATGTTTGAAGATGAAATTATCCACAATTATGCCCCATTATGAGGGGAGAAATAACAAGTAACCAAAAAAGCTTTTTCTAGTGCTATTCTGTCCCCCAAAAGCCTGGCGTGATGCATTTCAATAACTGCATAATCTAAACTAATAGAGAGGTGGAAAACGAAGACTGTTCATATCTAGCTCAGGACTGACTCTCAGGACGGATTCATGCCAGACAAATTTCCTGCAGGAAATAAGATCGCGTCTGACTGATTGTCCTCATTGCTCCTAGACAGGAGTCCATCTAGACTTCGCGATTGGGAGAAGGAACATCGGAGAAA